AGTTTTCAACATAATGAGTAATTGTGGCAAAATCTTGTCGATTTCATTTGTATTGAAATTAAATACAAATTAAATAGAACTTTCTCAAAACGATTTCAGGATAATATCGGTGGCCAATTCATCACCCAAGGGGAATTCCAATTTTTCAAGGTTTTTCAATATAGTTGTTGCGTTTTGTGCGTACTATAAAATTATACACGAAATAATGTGCAAGTGTAAACAATCACTCAAGTAATAAAGTGATGAGTGAGTATCGTCTCCGAGGGATTGGTGGAAATTACAAATTTTTACCAAAGCAAAGCACTACTCTATCTAAGTATAGTTAGTAATGGTATGTATAATGAGAGATGTCAAGACAATAGATATTGGTGGGGATAGAATGATGGTATGATGTGGCAGCAAATGGTGATGTCGAGGCAAAATGGATGTAAATGTCGTGGCAAAGAAAATAGTGTGTAGTGAAATAAAGTGAAAATATAAAGGCAAAATAAAAAGGTAAATAATGGATTTAACTAGAATGACTTGACAATCCTCACACAACAATCTACTACGGGAATGAATGATAGGAGTCACTTGGGAAACTTAAGTTTAACTTCTCATGATGATATCACTTCTATGTTTTACTTGCCCGACAGAGTTTACTAAAGGTGCCCTATGCCATCTCTAGTCAAGGAACTTGACAGGTTGAGAATTCCATGGCAATACCTATTCGCCTTAGAAGGCGCATAGATCCTATCAGTCTAACAGAATATGTCACGACAATACCATTCAGTATTGATACTAACATCTACCTTCTTGACCTGTCACTACTCTTTTTTGTCGATTGAAATCCTAGCCTTTTTTTTAAAGGTGAATTAGGCTCAGTTACTATCTAAAACCCATTGCTTATGTTGATCCTCCTTAGTTTCTCTCGAATACTAAAGATGAGCTACTTAGTTTCTCTCAAACACTAAGTATTTCCTAAGTAATGGCAACTCTTATAACTCCTACAACTTTAATACATTAAGCACCATAAACAAAACAAATAAAATCATAGAAAAAGAATAATCATCCAGTAAGGAAAAAGATTAAACATCTGTGGTGAACTCCCACCAAATAAAGCTAGTTCATGGTGGGGTTCAAATAATCCATGAAATAAATCATAAAATCCATTTGTTCCTTGCAAACCAATTCAAATGAGAAATAACAGCAAAGGGGAAGGAGTAAAAACCCTTCGATGTGGACTTTTGGAGCTCTCATCGGCCACCACAAATCGCCTTAGCTCGCTAGCTCCTCTCGGGCGCCTAGCTCACCACTTCTTAGAGCTTGTTAAAAGACGAATACCACTAAAAATGGAGGAAAGAAAAAAAGTGGAGAATATGAAAAAGATGAAGATTTTTCTGTTGGAGTGTGTATCATTTTTCTCTCTCTTGTAAGGTGTCCTTTAATAATAAAAATATCTAAGGGTATTCTTGGTATTTTGCACTCAAAATACCCATCATATCTCTAAAGTCATTCCTTGGGCGTGAAGCTTATCTCTACAGGTGGCAGTGGACCTTTTCAGGTGGTTACAAGCAGCATACACGTGCTTTGACATTTATCCTCTTGTGAAAATATTTTTTTGTCCTTTTCTACGCCATAAATGCCAAGGCATTTCAATATGCTTTAGTAACGTGTGATGTCACGACATTCCTTCCCAGCTTACCCTTTTTGCTTGTTATTTCCTACACATCATTAAAAACCACACCTTCCTCATCATACATCACCTTAATAAAATAACACAACCATTGCAAATGCAATTATATACAGCTACATGCATCTAAAATGACCTATATGAACCATTAAAAAATAATAAATTAAGTGAAAGAGGCCTTAAAAGTAGTTTTTACGGAGTTATCACACCCCTAAACTTAAGTTATTACTTGTCCTCAAGCAATGGATAGAAATTAACACAAATAAAATGTCATGGCAATTTTCAACAAGAATACAGTCAAGACAAAAATAGAATTTCAACCCTTCAAAAAATTGGCTTCAACATACTAGACATATCAAGAAATCAAGTACTTTTCCCTAGGTCATGATTATTTGTGGCTGTGTGTGTATTATTGTATCTAATCTATACTTAATAAATTTAAGCAATTTCTAATTAAGTTATATAGTTTTTTCCAGACATTTACTTATTCATTAAGCACATTTATACTCCCTTTTTACTTTTTACTTTTTACTTTTTTACTACGAGTAAAGTCAGCCCATCACACCTACCATCCCATACTCTAGGTGAAATGGAGTATACCTTCCACCCCCAAGCTAGTCAAGTAGAGTCATCCCATGCCTACTTTCATTCACTCATATGGACATGGCTGTCATTTATTAAAGAAAGTTCCAGACACTGCCACAGCAAAGAGGAGTGTCCCTCTATAGCTATGCCGAAGTATTTATTCATAATTTTATACATAATGGATTTCTCATTGATCTATCCTTTCAGCATAATTCCAAATTTCAAAGCCAATGCTAACTAGAGTTCATTCATAAAAATTTCCTAAATTCCTTAAGTATAGAGGGCATACAATCGTGTAAGAATAATTCACAAATCATCAAACTCTAGAGTCAGTTCTATCATTCTCAACATTTTTTTACATTCAATTTCTCGTTTAAAAAGTTAATCATCATCGGGTATCACCAAAACATTTTGTCTAATTTTCCTACTACTTACTGATGCCATGGAAAAATATTATGTTAACACTATAATGCATATGTTCTACAAAGAACACTACCTCCCCCAAACTTGAAAGAAACATTGCCCTCAATGATTAATAAAAAAAATTAAGAAATGAAACTAAATGCAATGTTATGGAATGCAAAATGAGTACAAAGTAAGGTACCTCAATTTTTTTATGGTGGTGCCGGTGTTACGGTGGAAGTGCTTTGAGCTCCATGACTTGTTATCTTTCGGAGGGTGCAGGGTTGGAATTGAAAGAATTTGAATGATAGTGAGCAATATTAACATGCCCCACTGATGTCTTAGTGCAACGGTTGGTACGACGAGCGGAAGGAGGTATAGGTGCAACAACTGGACTGGGGTTGGTTTGGATAGTTCCATAGGAAACTCTGGAGTAGGGGACTGGCTCAGCAATGGGAGGATCAACATCATCGGGCTCAGGATATGCATTAGCATCAAATGCTGGTAGAATTTCATCCGAGAAACCTGGGAAATTTCGTCCGATGTGGGTAAGCATTTCTTGAAACATGGAATCTACGACAGCATCCCTGTGCTTTATATAGCCAAAGAAAAATTTTTAAATTGCCATGTAGAGTATGCAAATGAGTCTTTGTCTGCTGGAGAGTTTCGTCGAGAGCAATATTCTTGCCTCGGTATTAGATGGTTTGTCATCTTCAGACGCTTATATTGTAGTTTCCTTAGATTTAGGGTTAACCAAACCCAATAAAATTGGCAGCCATGCTCTTGTTATGCCCGAGACCCCATAAAATACCTCATCAAAACTACTTTAAGAAACATTTTTCCTTCGACAGAGTGTGGTAATAAGATTTGGAAAGACTAAAGATCTAGCTTTCTTACTCAAGCATTCATGCACTTGTTCAACAATTATTCTACCCACATCAATAGGACGTGTAACCAAAATTGAGTGTAAAAGAATTAAGCGTAGAAAGGTTACCGTTGTATTGTGGGCAGTTGACATGAGTTTATGCTTCATGAAATGGTTCTAAAGCTTTGTGCACGATTGAAGGCATTCCTGATTAACAGAGTAACGCCTGGTCTATCGATCGTTCCAAGCGGTATTCGAAAAAATAAATCCTCAAGGATCCCGTCATATGTTGCACTGTTGGCATCTCTCTCAAAGTTTGTATGTTGATCTTCAACACCCTGTAAATGAAAATAGTGATTAATGGCAGAGGGTGTAAACCAAATATATTTACCTCGAATGGAAATGACATGTTGATTTGGTTGGGAAATATTAGCATAAAACTCTTTCAATAAAGAAGCATTAACGGGGTTGGGGTGCCTTGCAAAGTTGTGCCAATTCAATAGCTCAACAATGTCCATCGCGTCTGGCCCAAAACCACCATCTTGTTCCTCAGTGAAAATGAACCCCAACTCAAAGAAAAGCTTACGATTCTTGAAAATTTGAAATCGCTCATTTGCCACATCTTCTACAAGCTGTTGAGGAATCATAGTTTCAGCTTCCACGGCTCTCGTTCGTACCATTTTTATAGCGATTTGAAGGAAAAAATCATAAAAAGTTAAGAGCTTGTTTTGCTTAAATGGAGTTGGTTGTGGAGGAAAATGAGAGAAGAAGAAGATGAAAAGGAAAAGTTAAAAGAAATGATGGAAGAGATGGAGTGAGTGGACAGTTGAAAAGAAATGAGTGGATGGGGTAAATGGGTAGGTGGGAAAAAGAAAAAGTAAATTGTAAAAATTAATGAGATGTGAAAGGACAATGCAGGGAGAGAAATAAAAATAAGGAAATAAAATAAAATAAAATAAAGAAATAAAGTAAAACAAAATATTTTCCCCCTTAAATTTTTTTATTGTTTTTTCCTTCCTTGATAACCGTTCATTCATACAACCTCGATACTAGTGGGTCCCTACAATAAAAAAAACTGCCATTATCCATGAATAATAAAAATAAAGATAAAGATAAAAGAAAAATAAATTTTTTATTTATGCACAATCAACAGAATTCGATGTCATGGCATTGAATTTTATTCGTGGTTCTGGTACACTCAGACTTCATGTAGATACAACACCGACTTATCACACAGCATTGGAGCTCTATTGTAAACATTCAACTACTGACCATTGACCTTAAATATCATCCCATCGTCGACATTTTTTATATCAATAACTCCATGGGGATAGACATGATGCACCTCAAAAAGATCTGACCATCTAGATTTGAGCTTTCCAGATAAGTGCTTAAGTTTGGAATTGTAAAGTAACACTTGGTGCCCAACATGAAAATGTTGTGGCATAACTTTTGGTCATGCCACTTTTTATTCTTTTACTTGTATATCCTGGCATTCTCATAAGCTTGTGCCCTAAACTCTTCCTTCTCATTGAATTCCAGCAATCTTTGCTCCCCAGCTAATTGATCATCAAAATTTAACCTCTTAATGGCCCAATACGATTTATGTTCTAGCTCGACGAGGAGGTGGTAGGCCTTCCTATACACCAACTTGAAGGGTGACATACCCAGAGGAGTCTTAAAAGTTGTAATATATGGCCAGAGTGCTTCATCTAACTTTGGTGACCAATCATTCCGCCTCAGATTCATCATTTTCTCTAATATCTGCTTTATCTCGTGGTTGGATATTTCAACTTGGCCATTTGTCTGTGGAAGGTATGTTGTGGCAATATTGTGATGGACACCATATCTTCTCAATGCCTTGGCAATCAACTTTTTATCAAAGTGGGTTCCTTCATCGCTAATGATGGCTCGAGGTACTCCAAATAGAGTGAAGATATGTTTATACAAAAACTTAAGTACAGTTTTAGAATCATTATTTGATGTCACAATAGCCTCCACCCACTTGGATATATAATCCAAAACAAGCAAAATGTATAGATTGCCAGCTAAAAATAGGAATGGTCCCATGAAATCAATGCCCCAAACGTCAAACAACTCAATTTCCAAAATGCCTTGTAGTGACAATTCATGTCGCCTAGATATGTTTCCAATGCGTTGGAAACGATCGCAAGACTTGTAAAATTCCTGAGCATCCTTGAACAAAGTTGGAAAATAAAGCCTGAATGCAAAACCTTGGCAGCAATCCTTGCTCCTCCAAAATGGCCTTCACTTGGGCCATATGATAATTATATAGAATGTCTCGTTGTTCTTCTTCAGGTACACATTGTCTAATGAGTTGGTCATCACAATGTTTGAATAAATATGGCTCATCCCAAAAGTAAAACCTTGCATCATGCTTGAATTTTTTTCTTGCCCTGGCTATTCAAATCAAAAGACAGTATACCACTAACAAGAAAATTAACAAGGCTAGTGTACTATAGAATTGTCGTGGCATATAAAATTTTCTCATCAGGTAATTCCTCTTGAATATCTACAATGTCATGGCATTCAGAATTGTTCAATAGCCTAGATAAATGATCAACAACTTGATTCTTAGTACCATTTCTATCTACAACCTCTAAATTAAATTCTTGCAAAAGTAAGATCCACCTAATTAGTCTAGGCTTGGCATCCTTTTTGTTCACTAAGTATTTTATAGTTGAGTGATCAATTTGAAGAATAACTTTAGTGCTTATTAGGTATGGTCTAAATTTATCAAATGCAAATACTACGACAAGTAATTCTTTCTTGGTGGTTGTGTTATTCATTTGTGCCTCATTCAAGGTACAACTAGCATAGTATATGACATGAAAAATTTTACCTTGGCGTTGTCCCAAAATAGTTCCTATGTCATAATTGTTTACATCACACATTAACACAAATGGTGATGTCCACTCAGGAGGAACTACAATGGGCGCTAAGATCAATCATTACTTTAGCTCAGTGAATGTACCTAGACATAACTCATCGAACACAATGGGTTGGTTGTGTTGAAGCAAAGTGCATAAGGGCTTAGAGATTTTGAACAATTCCTTGATAAATCTTCTATAAAAGTCAGTGTGTCCAAGAAAATTCTTTATGCCCTTGACAGAGTTAAGCAGTGGCAATTTTTTTAATTTCTTCAGTTTTCACTTGTCCACGTCAATGCCCTTGTAAGATATCTTGTGCCCTAAAACAATGCCTTTAGTCACCATGAAGTGACATTTCTCCCAGTTTAAAACCAGATCAACCTCCTCACATCTCTTAAGAACTTTTGCCAAATTACCAAGGCATCGCTCGAAGTCACCTCCAGAAATAAATAAATCATCCATGAATAACTCAAGTAAGTCCTCAACCATATCAGAAAAGATGGCTTACATGCAATTCTGAAAAGTTTTCAGGGTATTACAAAGTCCAAAAGGCATCATTCTGAAGGCAAAAGTGTCATAGGGATAAGTAAATATAGTATTCTCATGGTCCTCTAGTGCTATGACCATTTGATTGTACTTAGAATATCCATATAAGAAACAGTATAATGATTTGCCTGCCAATCGATCCAACATTTGATCAATAAATGGTAGAAGAAAATGGTCATTCTTTATAGCTTTGTTGAACTTACAATAATCCATACATATCTTCCATCCAATGACAGTGCGAGTAGGAAATAGCTCATTATCCTCATTAGTAACTACAGTCGTGCCACCTTTCTTTGGCACACATTGGACATGGCTCACCCATGAGCTATTAGCTATAGGGTAAATCACTCCAGCATCAAGTCATTTAAATATTTCTTTCATTACCACTTTCTTCATAACAGGGTTGATTCTTCGTTGTGGTTCTATCGAGTTTCCATGGCATTCTTCTAGTAGGATCTTGTGCATGAAAATCGTGTGACTAATCCTTTTTAAATCAGCCATAGTCCAACCAATCGCTTTTTTATGCTGTGACAAAACACTTAACAAACTTTTCTCTTGGTTAGTAGTAAGGTTAGAGAAAATAATCATAGGTAAAGTATTATCAATACCAAAATAAATATATTTAAGATACCCTAGAAAAGGTTTAAGCTCTAGGGTAGGTTCACGCAATAACAATGGCTTAGGAGGAATAAATTCATCAAAATTCAGGGGTTCAAAGTTCATAACTGATCTAGCTAGTAATAAGTTGGATTATTCCACCCCAGCTAGCAATTTGTTATGCTCCTCCATGCTTTCATCATGAATTGAACATTCCTTATCTGCTAGCTGAATAAAATTGTTCTGGCAAAGTTGTTTGGTTTCTTCTTCAATCAATGAATTCATTTTAAAAATGCCTTGGCATTCTTCAGGGTTAACAGCATACTTGAGAGTACGAAAACCATTGACAGCCACACATTGGTCGATCACTCTCAGGGTAAGTTCACCTTTTTCGCAATCAATAAGAATACGACCAGTGGCTAGGAAAGGCCTACCCAAAATTATTGGTGCCTTGTCATCAACTTCACAATCAAGGATAAGAAAGTCGACAGGAAACATGAATTTATCCACCCTCACTATAACATCCTCGACTCTCCCTTCAGGTCTAACATGGGATCGATCGGTAACTTGTAGAATCATAGTGGTGGGTCTCTCATCTCCTATGCCAAGCTTCAAGAATATAGATTTCAGCATTAAATTCTCACTTGAACCAAGATCACATAGTGTTTTTCCAACGAAATTAACTCATATAGAACAGTGAATAATGAAGTTGTCCGAATCATTTTTCTTTGGTGACAACTTACTCCATGAGAAGCAATATTTTTTGCCATTGCAACTGTCTCATACTTCACCACTTTACTTTTCTTAGAACAAATTTCCTTAAGAAATTTGGCATAAGTCGGCATTTGTTCAATAGCTTCCAAGAAAGGTACGTTAATATGGACTGATCAAGAATATCCACAAACTTTTTGAATTAAACTTCATTGTTGTTATTCTTCAGTCTTTGCGGGAAGGGTGGTGAGGGTTTAACTTCCTTAACTGTGGGAGTCAGAATTGCTTTTGCCTTGACATTAGAATTTAGTGCCTCGACAAGCTCACTAGTAGAATCCTCCTCCTTATCCTTCTCAGTAATAATTTCATCGTGTAATTCAAATTCAACTTGTTCAATATTGGGGGTAAGATCATCATGTTGTGTTCCCCAACTTTGACTTGTTGATTAATCTTCGTTCCACTCCTAAGTTTCAATACGTTGCATTACCTTTTTTCAATTGATTTAGTGACTTTAGTGTCACTTGACAATCATCCTTGCTGACGTTCGTAGCTTCCAAAGAACTAATGCTTGCTGAAGATGAGGCTCCCTTGTTAGTATTTTAGTAGCCTTGAGATTCAGTGTAATTCTGTTGATGATTAGGTTGACTAGCATTATGGGTTCCTTGATTACCCATGAGAAGTTAGGGTGTTGATGATATCCTGCATTATAAGTGTTAGAATACAGATTGTTATTATTTCTATTGAAATTACCTACAAACTTTATTGACTCATGATTAGTTGGGTGTTCGCTCTCGTTATGATTGCCTTGGAATAATAGACATGTCGAGCTAGTTGCTTTCACTTCATTTACCTCAGTCGAGCGCTGTAAATGTTTTAGCATATTAGTGATAGTTAAGAGTTAAGCGGACCCTGATTCCTTGGTATCTAACTCGAATGCCACATGTGCCTTTCTCCCAGTTCTAAGCATTCAGGAAAGGAATTGATAGGCATTGTTGGCAATTGTATCCAAAATAGCAAACGCCTCAGTAGGTGATTTATACAGCAATGTCCCATTTGTTGAGGCTTCAAGCATCATCCTCGTGGGTACATTGACTCCATTATAAAACATAACCACTTGAGTCCAATCTTGAAAACCATGATTTAAACACTTTCGAAGCAAACTCTTGTAATAATCCCAACATTTATACATAGATTTGTCATCGCCCTGGAGAAAGGATGTTATGTCATTCCCTAGATGAGTGTTCATGTTCGGAAGGTTATAGCGCAATATGAAACTTTTGCAAAGATCATCCCATGATTCCATCGAACCGAATGGAACACCACTCAACCAAGCCCTCGCTCGATCACACAAATAGTATGGAAATTGGTTTAATTTCAGCACATCCTTATGTTTTCCTTGTTGGCCGAAAGAATCAAAAACCTCCAAAAAGTTATGAATATGATGCCTAGCATCTTCAGTTGGCATGCCCTCAAACTTCCATATGGAATTCAACATATTAAACATTACTGGTTTAAGATCAAAATGGGCTGCTTAAATTTCCGGTGCCACAATTTCAGGATTCAAATCATCCAGTATAGGATTCAGATGATCACGAATAACATGAGGCCTATCAGCAGGTCCAACATTTTAGAATGCCTCAACATTCTTATTTCTGTTATCTTGAGCAATGTCCTGGTTCTTAATTTGATACATATTTTCTCGAGCACGTTGAGCATGTCTCTTTTACCTAAAAAGTCTCTCAATCTCAGGTTCTATTGGTTCCAATGGCTCATCAAAATGTCTTCTAGGCATACACCAAATAAACCTAAAAAAGAATAAAATAAGATATAAAGTAAACAATACAAAAATAAAGAAGCAAAAATAAAATGCTCTGGCAAAACTAATTAACTTCACATTGTAAATCCCTGACAACGGCGTCAAAAACTTGTTGCGTGTTGTGAGTACTATAAAATTATACGTGAAATAATGTGCAAGTATACACAATCACTCAAGTAATAAAGTGATGAGTGAGTATCGTCTCCATAGGGATTAGTGTAAATTAAAAAGTTTAACCAAACCAAAACACTACTCTATCTAAGTATAGTTAGTAATGGTATGTAGTAATAAGACGTGTCAAGGAAATAGATATTGGTGGGGATGGAATGATGGTATGATGTGGTAGGAAATAGTGATGTCGAGGCAAAATGAATGTAAATGTCGTGGCAAAGTAAATTGTGTGTAGTGAAAAAAAGTGAAAATATAAAGGCAAAACAAAAAGGTAAATACTTGATTTAACTATAATGACTTGGCAATCCTCGCACAATAAGCTACTACAGGAATAAATGATAGGAGTCATTTGGGAAACTTAAGTCTAACTTTTCAGGATGATCTCACTTATATGTTTTACTTTCCCGACAAAGTTTATTAAAGGTACCCTATGCTATCTCTAGTCAAGGGACTCGACAGGTTGAGAATGCTATGGCAATACCTATTGGCATTAGCAGGTGCAGGGATCCCATCAGTATAACAAAATATGTCACGGCAATACCATTAAGTATTCGCACCAACATCTACCCTCTCGACCGAGAACTACTCCTTTTATTCGATTAAAATCCTAGCCTTGTGTTTAAAGGTGGATTAGGGTTAGTTACTATCTAAAACCCATTTCTTATGTTGATCGCCTTAGTTTCTCTCGAATACTAAAGATGAGCTACTTATTTTCTCTTGAACACTATGTATTTCCAAAGGAATGGCTCATATCTCCTACAACCTTAAGACATTAAGCACCATAAACAAAACAAATAAAATCATAGAAAAAGAACAACCATCCATTAAAGAAAAATCTTAAACATCCATAGTGAAATCCCACCAAATAAAGCTAGTTCATGGTGGGGTTAGAATAATCCATGAAATAAATCATAAAATTCATTCGTTCCTTGTAACCCAAATCAAATCAGAAATAACTACAAAGGGGAAGGAGGAAAAAAGCCTTCGACGTGCACTGTTGGAGCTCTCCTCTGCCACCACGAACCGCCTTAGCTTACTAGCTCCTCTCGGACGCCTAGTTCACCACTCCTTAGAGCTCGGTAATGGAGGAACACCACTAAAAATGGAGAGAAGAGAAATAGTGGAGAAGATGAAAAAGATGATGATTTTTCTGCTGGAGTGCGTATCCTTTTTCTCTCTGTTATGATGTGTCTTTTAATAATAAAAATATCTCAGGGTTCTTAGGATTTTGCACTCAAAATACCCATCATACTCCTAGAGTCATTCCCTGGGCATGAAGCTTATCTCTATAGGTGGCAGTGGACCACTTCAGGTGGTTACAAGCAGCAAACATGTGCTTTGACAGATGTCTTCTTGTGAAAATATATTTTTGTCCTTTTCTGCGCCATAAATGCCAAGGCATTTCAATCTGATTGAGCAACGTGTGATGTCACGACATTCCTTCCCAGCTCGCCCTTTTTGTTTGTTATTTCCTGCATATCTCTAAAAACCACACCTTCCTCCTCATACAACCACCTTTATAAAATAACACAACCGCTACAAATGCAATTATATGCAGCTACATACATCTAAAATGACCTATATGAACCCTTAAACAAACAATAATTTAATTGAAAAATGTCTTAAAAGTAACCTTTTATGGAGTTATCAATACCCTATCATTTTAAAACGTAAGTTTCCAAAGGAAGTTCAAACCATTAAATTTTTCCTTCTCAGGGATTTATCACAATGATAATTACTCGCTCTTGTGTGAATGTAATGATGCGATTATGTGCAAGCATGCACGTCGTAATCAAGAAATAAAGTAGATGTGTAAAGACAAATTGGATATTGTACCCACAAAGACTGGACAATATTTTTAGTTGGAGTTTGTTGATTCCCAATAGTAATTGTAAAAAAAAAACATTTTTAATACAATAATGGCAAGTAATATATGTAAAGTAAATGCATGAACATAAATCAAATCTCCATAGTGTTGTGTATCTAAATCTAATGGGTAAGTATCTATCTAATATTAAAGACTGGATGTTGATACTAATGACAAGACTCATGAATCCTATGATCACGTGGGATTAAATTAATCAACACACTTACTTTGGCACATTTATGGTCTCAACAGTTCACAAGGAGCTTTCCCTTTCAAGAATCACTCAAATAGACACACCAACCCTATATCTTTATAGTACTAATTGCCACTAACTTCTTGAGTTTCGAGACATTCGTAGGTGTCTAGATCTCTCTGATATACCGTCGTAACTCTCGTTGTCATATAAACTAAGTTCACTTGGTGATATGTCATAACTACCAAGATCTACAACATATGTGAATTAAGTTATAAAGCCACAAATAATTAATTTCAAAAAGAATTGATTTGAATGAAGTTTTAAGTGTTTGAAAACTAAAAATATACAAATCCAATTTAAAAGGAAATGATCGGTGATCCCGCAGGATCAGGATAATAACAAACATGTCTTTCGAGCTCAACTACTAGGATGGTGATGCAATGCTGCAAAAGTCAATCCCTGTGACCTCTCGTATCTACGATCTTGTTACTTGTATTGTTGACCCAGAAAAATTCAAGCTCCCAAAGTGTTTGGAAAGTAAGAAAATATAAGAAGAAATTGTAAAAAAAATCATGAAAAGGAAAAGTACAGAAAAATAAATCTAAATTATCTCTAATCCGTCACACTTTCTCTACTTGCCAACCTCTTCTCCTCTTGCAAATAATGTCAAGGACTCCTTATGTAGCTTGGTTCACGTCACATATTCCTCCAAGTTTTTGTGTTTTAGATTTTTTTATTCAGCCATCATGTGATCCCCACTTCCATATCATTCCAATTGCATCATAAAAGTTTGTTCTCCTAAATTAGTCTGTATCGACACTCAAAAAATACATTAACAAGCTCTGTTTTAACAACATAAAGCTTAATCAACATAAATAAGGTATTTATTCTCTCTATGTCGAAACATGAAGCAAATTATTGTATATGCAAGTAAATACTAAACTATCAAGCTAAAACTTAAGTAAAAGAGCATGAAAAACTACTACATATTAGAGAGTTACAACAGTCTCAAACCTAAGTTTTTTTCTTTTTCTCAAGCAAAATTATTAAAAATGTCCAAACAAGAATTCATATATCATCTCAT